AAGAAAGAAAGGCTGCAATGTTTGGAGGATGGCCTCCTCGTCCTCACCCGTCGGAAGGGCAAAAATGCCTTCTCAGTGTCACCTCTGCTGTTTTCTATCTCACAGTCACTTGCTCTTCCAAAGAGAGCATTCACAGATATTGTTGGTCTGTAAGAATCAGTATGTGGAGAGAGATCTTGTAGCAGGATAAGGACACTCACACAATCCTTCAAATATTAGGAAATTTCTCCCCCTTTTGGCGCTGATCCTATATTCTTTAACTGGGCTGGGATTGGGAGGAAGCTTCGGAAGACTGAATGTCTATCTGTGTCGATAGACATGGATAGGACTACGTTGCCCATCACAGCAACTTCACGGCCTTCAGGGGTGCTTAACCGGTTTAGAAGAATATTAGTCTTCTTGTGGAGACACACACTCTTTCTCCAAATGCAGAGAGATCTTGTAGCACCTTTGAGACTCACTGAAAGAAAGAAGTTGGCAGTTCCTACAGACGTAAGTCTGCTTCCTCAGATGCATTTGGTGGAGAGGAAGATGCATCTGAGGAGGTAGACTGAAGTCTAGGAAAGCTCATGCTGCCAACTTTTCTTTCAGAGAGTCTCAAAGGTGCTACAAGATCTCTCCACATACTGATTCTTACAGACTAACACAGCTATGTCTTTGAATTCTCTCTTTGGAAGAGCAAGGAGGAGGAGGAAGAGCCACACATAACTTTAGTGCGGAAATCTATAGAGGTAGCCGTTTATTGCTCTTGAGTGCCTTCAAGTTATTATTGACTTATGGCAATACTAAGGCAAACCTTGTCACAGAGGTGTTTTTTGGGCTGAGAGTATGTGACTCGCTCAAGGTCAGCCAGTGGGTTCCATGGATGAGCAGGGAATCAAACCCTGGTGTCCAATACTCAGACCTCTACACCATGCTGATTCTCACAGGGAGCCATGTTCACATGAAACAGAACCCCAAATCCAAAACAGATATTGTGGCGATAGTTTTATTAAGCCAACCAGAAGTGCAAAAAGTGTTATGCCACTTTTCAAAGCACACTGGCTTCTTCATCAGGCAAAGATGACCAAAAATGAGGAGAACAGAAAGTGATATTGTTGGCTTAACAAAAGTTCTCACCACAATGTGTATTTTGGATTCTGAGGAACAACAGATCCTTTCCTCTGTGAAGAAGAAGTTATTGAGAGGAACCAGGATTTCATACTGGGATTTCCTCTCCATCCTTACCCAGCTCCCTACTAACTGGTCCCACACTGAGAGCATGCTCTGTGAAGTTTGGGAAAATGCACTGGATATTAGACAGAACAGGAGGTGCATCTTCCAGCTGCCAAGAATGATCAGTGTCTTAGGTGCCATGCCCTCCTCGAAGGCAGAGATGTCCCATTTGAAAGACTGTAACTCCCAGCAGCCACTACAACTGATAGGAAGATTCTGGCACCTGTAGTCCAAAAAGTAATATTTCCAAGCTTGGACTTGAGGACTTTCACAGCAGCTTACTCTGATATTTCATTTCCAGCTGGAAAGTCTTAGGATAAAAACATTCTGTCTTGGGTTTATACAACTATGATCCTAAGTAGAGTTACTCAGGAGTAACTCAGTTCCACTAAGATTTGAAGAAGATGTTAGGCAGCAAGTCACTTTTCTAGACTGTGCTCAAAGATGGGGCAGATATTGTCTTAAGCTGACCTTTAATTCCTTTCTCCTGCTCTTTGCCTTCCTGACTGCTGGAGGGACTCCTTTTTTAGGGTGCATCTGCACTGTAAAACCAGTGCAGTTTGAAACTGCCTTAACTGCTACGGCTCAATGCTATAGAATTCTGGGATTTGTAGTTTTATGAGATGTTTAGCCTTCTCTGTCAGTGAGCTCTGATGCCACAACAAACTACAAATCCTATACTTCCATGGGGGGGGGCATGAGAGTTAAAGTGGTGTCAAACTGTATTAATTTTGCAGTGTGGCAGCAGCCTAGTCTCTCAATCAGGCAAT